AGAAAAAAAAGTTAAAAATACGGAAGGATTGATGAGAAAGAATAATATTTTTTAAAAAATAAATTAATATTAAATTAAGTACCTTTAACAATGTTAAATAACCAAATAATAAGTTTTTGAAAAAAAAAAAAAAGACTGATGAATTTATTTTAAAAAAATAAAGAAACTAATTTATAAATTACTCGGCAAAGGTCCTAAGAGATTACATGTGAACTATCACAAGGAAAGAAATTCTACGGATATCATCTAACCAAATTGACAAGCACTCTATAAGGGCTTCTATAAAATACTAAATTAATGTCAATAAATACGACGAAACCTAATGCTGAAGGAGCAAAAGGATAGAGAATGAAATAATTCGGCATGGGAGGATAGATAGATTCTTGTCTTGGCTTCAAACTTGAAATCTTTGAATGATCAATGAAGCTTTTAAAAATGCACTTCTTTCACACATGAAATTTAGGCCATGCATGCATATATGACAGGCAAGCTAGCAATCCCAAACTTTTTCCTCAAATGCATGCTTATGTCTGTATGACTAATTGACCACGCATGCATCCCAGATTCACGGCTTAAAGACTTTGACTTGAAACTCGATCACAATAGACTTTTGTTCCTATACATCTACAGATCTCTACATAGGAATAACGGTGGTAGTGGGAGATATCATATCAAATGATACCCTATAAATGTTGATTATGTGAGAGTGCATGGAACCCACTGCACCCACCTATAATGGCGAGGCCAGTGGGTGAGTAATCATACAAAATGATCAAAAGTGGCCGCACCTGCATTGCCCTTCTTTCCCAACTTTCGAGTGTTGTTATTTCTCCCTTTTTTTGACCTTTCCATTGCTTACTTTCTTAAGGGCAAAAGTGAGGGAATGCGAAGGAAGTCCATTGATTGAACCATACTTGTAGCAATTGCAGAACAGCTTGAGTTTTGCTAATGGTTCACGAATTCTTCGTGAAAAAAGAGTTTAAACAATAAAACAAAAGATTTTGAAAGATACCTATATATGACTACAATATCTCTAGCAGCGGTATCTTTTCTTTAGATGGTCATAAGTTCATTAAGTTGAAAATAATTCTTTTTTATTACATAATAATTAAATAAATTAAAATTATTAGAAATTAAATCTTTTTACACTAAAAAAATTTATCAGATACACAATTATTAAGCTCTACTTATTTGTATTGATTCATTGTATATTTATATGTAGAATTCTATGCAATTCATTGTATATTTTTCAATTATCGACCATATTAGTTGTTAAATTCTCTCTGAATAAATCTAGCACACATATCAATAGTTTGGAATGTTTATTTTGTACATTAAAACATTCATAAATTGACATCCATAGATTTCTAAAGATATATCATGTGCTTAAAAATTTCATCCTATAAGGGATTATGGTTACTCAAAATTAGGTCAAAAAAGGAGTACCATACACAGTTGATCTACGATTCTCCACCTCCAACTGGCAATAGACATCACCTTTCACCCTCGACCAAAGGTGAAAGCGAGGAGTATTTTTCTCAAACTTTATTGCTTTTGGACCATTCCTTTCAAGAACAAACTTGTTTTTTTAATGAAAAAAATTGATTTCGTCACATAAATTCAAATCAACAAATCAAACTTTTGTCATTTAAAGAATTAAAAGATTCAAATCAATGAATAAATAAGCTTTTCTTCTTCTCCTTCTTCTTATTTTCCTATAGGGTTAGATTGGAATGAGCAAATCCTAAGCTAACTAGAAATATACTAATTCCTGTTGATAGTGGAAAAACAAGTGGTAGACCCTTGATGCAAAAAGAAGTGAAAAGCCATTTTGAGGAGACACGAATTTTTGTTTTTAATTGCTATACATCTGTTGCAAAATCCCATCAACATTAATTTAAAATCATAGTGGCCTAATTTCAATGTCAGGATTGCAACAACTCAACCAATTAACACCTGTCCTTCTCCAATTACTTTGCATCTTCACTCGTGTGAAGAAGATTTTTTTGCAATCAATGTAGGCAGGTAGGTTACCAGCAACCTGCGCCTTCCTAGCTAGTCAATTCGAATCAAATGGATTTTTCTTTGCTAGCTTTAAATCAAGGTTCTTGTTGTTTAGGCTTGGCACCACATTTCGCAACTGCGTTCCTTGAATCACTAGGCACCAAGTTCTTTATGAGAAATTTTATAATATATTAGGAGTAATTAATGACATATACGGTAATTATTTCATAAGTTCATTTTGAGGAGAGAGATAGACACATAAAAAAGATAGAAATTATATCTATACTCATCAAAAGTCTTAAGAAGATTTCACGTTCGTTCAAATTTTTTTATTTTTTTTCTCTTTTTGTATGTGTATCTCTTTCTTCAAAGTGAACCTATAGAGTAACTACTGTATATATCATTAATTACTCACAGTGTATTATAAAATTTCTCGTTCTTGATGACTAAAAATTGGATAATGAAAAAATGCCACAGAATAAATTAGGGTAGCATTTATGGAGTGGTTGGCAAATTATGGATTTGATCTACCTTTGTCTGGTGCATAGGTTTTTTTTTTTTTTTTTTTAACGACAAGGGCATTTTTTTATCTGTTTATGTATTAATTGAAATTAATTTTTTTTAAAACAATTTTAAAGATTGATCTTCTATATTAACTTAGTGTATTTAAAAAGTTTTAATAAATTTTTATAAATATTATCCCGAGATTTGAATTCAAAAACTAAAAAAACTAAAAAAATTTCTTAATCAACATACCAATTAAAGTTTGTTGACTCTGTTTTTTACTGATTCCATTCTCATTATTGAGTATTGAGCAATGGTGCATTTATGAATTTTATACGTCTCTTGTGAGATTCATACATAATGGTATTGTATTTTAAAAAAAAAAAAAATCATCAATATTCCACCCCTACCTCTGTAACTTAATTTTTTATTTTTTTACTATTGCTGTAAAGTTTTAATGTTACCATCATCTCGTCAGTTAAATAGCTAGAAAACCTCACTTTTTTTTTCATTTTTATCTTATTTTTCTCTTATTTCATCTTCTTAAATCCCATACATGTGAAATTATCTCATAAAAAATTACCTAAAACTCTAAAATTACGGTTTTTTTTTTTTAAAAAAAAAAACAAATCAGACCATATCATTAGATTTTCAGCCACATGGATCGAGCGATAGGTGCTCGTTCTTCCTTAAGCAAGGTCCCGGGTTCGAATCTTATGGATGGAGCCGTTAATATTGGAAGAGCTTTACCCCCTTGTGGGACCTCCCGGCTCGAATCTGGATTAGTTGGGACCCAATGCGGTCTACGGATACCGGATGCTTAGAGCAAAAAAAAAAAAAAAAAAAAAAGATTTCATAGCTATTTTAATGATTAGGGGTGAAATTGAATATCTTTTAAAAAAATACTAGTAATAATATTGGAAAATTTTAACCATAAAAGTAGAATTGGAATATTGATGAATCTATAAGGGTAACATTATAGTTTATCAATAAAGAATTTAATTTGAAATTCTTAATCCTCTTGTTGAAAATAACAAGGGGAGGGGGGATCCTTCCAAGCAAGCAAAACTGGAAATTATTGTCCTCTTTTCTTTTTTCTTTTTTTTTATAAAAGTGTCGACTTTGATTTTTTTTTTCTTTTTCTTTTTAAGTAGTTGTTAAGAAAGAAAAAAAATTGAAAAACTGAAATTTCTCATTAAAAAAAAAGTTCAAAAAATGTTGTTGTACCTAAAACGAGTCAATAATCAGATCCATTCACGGGTGCCAAATTGATACCACTTTGGACCAGTTAATTTGAGGATAATACATCGATTCCAATTCGCCAAAGCATTTCCAGAAATTGAGGGTGAAAATGTGGAAAAAAAAAGAGTAATTAATAACATCTCACTGTAATTATTGTTAGATTAGTATACAAGTTATTTTCTTACTATACTGCAGATAATAAAAGGATAGAAAACAGTTGAACTGGAAAAAGTACCGGTAATTATTTTTAAAATATTCTAAATTTTTTCTAGATTATATCAAATTAAGACTTAAAAACTCAATTTATTATTACATAATAAGTCCTTTGATCTGTCATTATATCTTTAATTAAGATAATTTTATTTAAGTTTTTAATTTATCATTCAGGTTAAATTAACCAAACTACTCGTCTGATCTGCACATAATGAATTTTTATTTTTAAAATACCATTATAAGAAAGTCTAATAGAAGATTTTCCTATAAAACTTATGTGACTAATTTTAATAGTTTAATTTAAAAATCTTATTAGAATAATAAATTAAATATTTAATATATACTGGATGATAAAACTGATTTAATTAAAAATATTAAAAGAGATTAAAAAATAATCCTATCATACAAGGACTGATTAATCTATTAACCTTTAATAATTATTAAGTTGAAAAAAGAAGGGGACAGAGAGATGTTTTTTAACAGCAACGAATTAGAGTGAAGACAGAAAGAAGATAGTGATGAGAATCCAAATTGTCCAAAGGTAACAGCTCCTTTTGTTCCCGCCTTTTCTTTTTCTTTTTTTGACTTTTATCACACAGCAAAGTAACAAAGCTGCCCTTTTTTTGCGCCACTCCTCGGCTTTATCTGCTTAGCTAAGTAGGTAAAGAAAATCAGCAATAATTCAGATGAGCTTGTTAGTCCTTCATTGTTATCGAAGCAAAATAAAAGCGAAATAGTTATAAAGAAAAGGAAAGAGGATGACCCACAAGTTGTGGGAGAGAAGGGAAGGGAGGTCCCAGAGGATTTGGACAATAGCAATCTTGACAAAAATGGCCGATGAAGAGGTTTGGCAACAGCAACATCTTCAACTCCAACTCCAACTGGGTCTCATTCTCTGTCTTTCTCTCTCTCTATCTCTCTCTCTCTTTCTCTTTAACCCCACCGTCAATATTTTCGTTCTTTTTTCTATCTATCTATCCTGACACTGCATTTTCTCTCTTTACTTTCTTGGCTTCTCTTCTTTTCTGTCTCTTTCCATGGACAAACATCACCAGCAGCAACTGTCTTTGACTAAGTGTTCAAGGCAGAAATACAGTGAATGGTTTGTTCTTCACAAGCGCTTATTTTCTTGATTTTTTTTTTTTTTTTGGTTCCTGTTTGCACTGTCTATGCTGTCCTTCTCTTGTTGCTCTGGTCGTTTGCCTAACCAGTACAGTGCATGTTGAGCTTATATTTGTCTCTGTTCTTTGATCTGAATCCAGCTTGTTCCTTCTTACTTACATGTAAACAGATTTCTTCCTTACATGTAAACAGATTTCTTCTTCTTCTTCTTCTTCTTCTTCTTTTAGTACTTATGGTTGGTGGTGTGATGCAATTACTGGTTTTTGCATATTGGTTTGCTTTGTCCATTGCAATAACTTCAAGTCTCAAATTTCTATCTTTTGTTCTTTGTTTTTTTGTAAATGATTGTCAAGAACTCGTGTTTTCTTCAATATTGCTTGCAAAATTACACAAGTGTGTATTGGTCTTTCAATATAAGCATTTCCACTCTCTGGATAGCATTAATTTGTGTTTCTTGATTTCTAGTCCCTTTTGCTTTTGGATCTCGTTGCTCGTATCACCCTTTTCTTCTTTTGCCTTTTGTTGGATGGAAACATGCACTCCTTGCTTCTAATACTACTACTACTACTACTTTTAACTGAAGGTTTTCTTATCTGCACTCTGCATATATAGTGCATACAAAGGATTCAATTTGGAACCTGGCTTTGTTATCTTTCGGAATACTTGCAATTGTTCCCTTTCTCAGTAATTGGCAACTATCTTTTGTAGGATTTTTCGGGATGTTCCTAGCGATATCACTATAGAAGTGAGCGGAGGGACATTTGCATTACACAAGGTAAGGGTTTTTTTTTTTTTTAGATTTGTACTAATGTTCTTACTGAATTGCTTTTGCATTAATGAACTATTTTGCCACCAATTCACCTTGAAGAGCAAGTGAATCCGAAGTGTATGCATATATATTCTCTGTGCATATTATGAGATTAGCATTAAGGTCTTGCCAGGCATTTGACATTCTCGTTAAAAAATGCAGTTCCCTCTTGTCTCTCGAAGCGGACGGATCAGGAAGTTGGTTGCGGAACATAGAGATGCTGATATCTCGAGGGTGGAGCTTCTTAATCTACCAGGAGGAGCAGAGGCGTTTGAGTTGGCCGCAAAATTCTGTTATGGCATTAACTTTGAAATTACATCTTCAAATGTTGCTCAGCTGTGTTGTGTTTCTGAATACCTTGAAATGACTGAAGAGTTCTCCAAAGACAATCTTGGTTCTCGTGCAGAGGAGTATCTTGAGAGCATTGTTTGTAAGAATCTTGAAATGTGTGTTGAAGTTTTGCAGCAATGCGAGAGCCTAATCCCTCTTGCTGATGAGCTGAAAATAGTTAGCCGCTGCATAGATGCCATTGCCTCAAAGGCTTGTGCTGAACAAATTGCTTCGAGTTTTTCACGCTTGGAGTATAGCAGCTCCGGGAGGCTTCACATGAACAAGCAAGCAAAAAAGAAGGGGACTGGTGGATAGAAGATCTCTCTGTTCTTCGGATAGACTTATATCAAAGGGTCATGACAGCCATGAAGTGCCGCGGTGTCCGTCCTGAGAGTATTGGTGCATCACTCGTGAACTATGCTCAGAAGGAGTTGACAAAGAAATCCAGTTTATGGAATCCCTCGAACCAGACAAAAGTTGATCTGATATCAACTGGGCATGAAAGACTTGTGGTTGAGACAATCGTTAACCTTCTGCCTGTTGAAAAACTTGCTGTTCCCATAACTTTTCTTTTCGGTCTTTTACGAAGTGCAGTGATGCTTGATTGCACAATTGCTTGTAGGCTCGACCTAGAGAGGCGGATTGGTTCCCAGTTGGATATTGCAACTCTTGATGATCTTTTGATCCCATCGTTCAGGCATGCAGGGGATACCTTATTTGATGTCGACACAGTTCATAGGATCTTGGTTAATTTCTCACAGCAAGATGACAGTGAAGATGATATGGAAGATGCTTCTGTTTTTGAATCTGATAGCCCTCATTCTCCTTCTCAAACTGCATTGTTTAAAGTGGCAAAACTGGTCGATAATTATCTTGCTGAAATAGCCCCAGATGCAAATCTCAAGCTTTCCAAGCTCATGGTCATTGCAGAGACTTTACCAACGCATGCACGTACTGTTCATGATGGATTATACCGAGCAATTGATATTTACCTAAAAGTATGTACTTTAATATTTTCCTTTTGCTTTCCATATCCAGGAGAAAGGCTTTGTTTCTATTTGTAAAAAGAAAAAAAAAAAAAATCTAATGTGGCAAGTTTCTTAATATGGTTAGCTAATGTTCTGTACCACATTAAGCAAGTGGTCTGTTGCATCTTACAGACACTTTGTATTTTTACCAACTTGACTAACCACTCCCTTCCGAAAGATAAAAATTTAGCTGAGTCTTTGTTGCCCTGATTATGAGTTAATCTTCATTTTAGTATGCAGTTAGATACGGCCAAGTATCTGTTTTTTTTTTTTTTTTGACATTATATGAACAGATATTGTTTGCTCAATCTCGAGATTATAATTTCTTGTCTAAAGTTTCTCTGACTATTTTGCAATGGCATCCAGGCTCATCAGGGTTTATCAGATTCAGACAGGAAGAAGCTCTGCAAACTGATTGATTTCCAAAAGCTCTCGCAAGAAGCTGGCGCCCATGCTGCACAAAATGACCGGCTTCCCCTTCAAGCTATAGTGCAAGTGCTCTATTTTGAGCAAATAAGGCTCAGAAACTCGTTGTGCTGCTCTTATGCTGAGGATGACCACAAGCCAATGCACCAGTCATGGCGAATCAGCAGTGGTGCGCTAAGTGCAGCAATGTCTCCGCGAGACAACTATGCATCACTAAGGCGAGAAAACCGAGAGCTAAAACTTGAGCTGGCTCGGTTAAGGATGAGATTAAATGATCTGGAGAAAGAACATGTTTGTATGAAGAGAGATATGCAAAAGTCACATTCTCGTAAATTCATGAGTTCTTTCTCAAAGAAAATTGGTAAGCTAAGCATCTTTGGGCATAGTTCCTCAAGGGGGTCAAGTTCTCCATCAAAAAATTCCCATAGAACAGATTCTAGAGTGATTGAGAGAACATGTGCCAGCACTGACTAGGTAATTCATCCTATTCTTTCTTCTGTATTCGTTAAGTAACCGCAAGCCATGATCTTGTTGACCTCTTTACTTACTTCTATAAATTTTCCCTTTTTGTCCACCTTGTATAGGGTTTCTGATGCTTTGTGATAGCAAGAATAAGTTTCCTTGTAAGCGAGTTACGGTTTCGGAGAGTATGATTTTGATGTTGTTTGAAAATGTTCTGTATGAAGTTGTTTGAAATCTCATATTATAAAAGCTTTTTTAGCATATATAATTAGTAGTAGGACATGCCCATTAATTTGCTAATCACAGATATGCTTAGAAATGAAGTACATCGAGCTGGGAAGAAACATGATAAAATCATTATCCTCGGTGGACAGAGTAGAATGACACAACTTCAGCACATAAACTTCATGTGAATTGACTATCAATGGATATGAAAAATCAACTGATGAGTAGAAAAACATCTTAAGCATAGTTGTCACGCTATCATGTTCAGGAAAAAAAAGGGAAAAATCTGGTTATGTTGCGACAAGGTTTGTAAGGTGCACAAAAATTTCTGAGGAGCTGCAGAAATAATTGCTTGCAACCTCTCCTCTGGTTGCATTGACTGCTCTCTGCTTCTCCTCATCTTTCTATGGCAAGGTGAAAGAAACCCTGAGTTGAAGCAACTTACGAACACTGTCCGGTTTCCTCAAGCAAGATTTCAGTGTAGTTGCCTCTTCCATGCAGTTAAACTCTAAATCACTATCACTCTTTCTAGGAAATTCTGTCGGGGTGTTAGTGTTGATTAATGGATACTCTTTGTGATGTGAAGGTCTAATCTCACATGTTGAATCCTCCTCTGGTTTCTCTTCAAAGTCTAGGTGGGTGTTTCTGAGGTTGGAGATCAACTTGGGCCAAGACTCAACTTTGGATGTTGTTATGGTTCGCTTACTGCCTTGTTCTTGGAAACTTGTCCCAATACACGATGCGATAGGAAGTGATTGGTGCTGGTTTAGATCCTTAAGTGTCATCCCAACTGGTTTTCCTAGTGGGTTTCTGGTTCTCTTATCACAGTCTTGCTCTTGGAAATCAGCCCCAATACAGGATGTGATGGGAAGTGGTTGCTTAAACCATCGGTGCTTGTTTCGATGCCTTGGTGTACTCCCAGCTGACTTTCTTGTCGAGCCCCGTTTTTTAACTTGTCCACAAGCATAATGATTCTTTGAAAACTGGGTCTGGCGTGGAGACTGCTGGTGGCATTGCTTGTGAGCTTTTACCAAGTTGTAGATTGTGCGATTGGGAACAATGAAGAAAACTTTCCCTGGATGCAGTAGAGAGTCAGGTTTAACTACGATCCACGGATACTCGAACACATCTGGTCTAGTAATGGAATGCCTAGGATTGTTCTTCAGCACTTGAGCGGCAGTTAAAGCCTGTCTGTGAATCTCCACGTACCTACCTGGATGAACCAGTTTTAGCAGACCCTCTTCCTTTGCTACAATCCCCATTAATTTGCTAGCTTTTCTTGATAGATAGATAATGGAAAACATGGAGCAGGAAAGAGGGAGAGAGTTCTTCACATTGCTGATTCTTATACCGTCCCTCCTTTCACATTTTGACAAAAAAAACTGGCTGAGATTCCTATGGAACGATGCATTGGATCCATAAATATTTTGGTTTCATGTCTTTTTTCGGATTATCTACACTAGGGTAAACGTGTCGATGTGGAGTCAGCCAGCTAAAATGAGCTAGCTGTTGCAACGTGGAGTCACTGGCTTCATCTGGAGATGACAAAAACAAAAACCAATCAACATAGTCTTCTGCAGTCGCCATTTCAGATATTGACCTTAGCTGGTATTAGATTGGATCAGAAGAATGTCTAGGCAACTACCATCTCTAGTGGATATCAGATATCCAGAACAATGTAATTCCTGGAAAAAATCGAAAAAAATATCTTTTATATTTTTTATGAGATCAGAAGTATCAACAGCTTTTGTTTTGTTAGAAATGTTATCTTCATTCTTCAGTAAACAACCCACTTTGTACTGGTGATTGTGGTACTCACTTTTTGGCTTCTACTTTTTGTTTTTTCAAGGATTTGATGATAAATTAGTCCCTCTAGTTTTTAAAAATAAATTAATTTGTCCTATTTGTTTCAAAAAATTAATTATTTAGTTTTTAATTAGTGTTGATCATATTTAATTTAATATTATTTTATTTTAAAAATATTTTCTTTTTTTTCGTCAATATTTTCATAATATCTATTTGTTTTTTAATAAAAATAAAAAAAATTAGAAAAGAGTAGAAAATGGAAAAAAGGATTAAATAATTAGTTTTTAAAAAAGGGTGACTAATTAATTTTTGTCAAAACTAGAAGGATTAATTGATTTTTTTTCCTCCATATTCCAGGTACGGGTATTGTGGTTTTTCATTAAGTTTTTTTCCCCCTGATATTTGAAAGCACAATATTTTTTCTTTCCTTTTGAGTTTCGAGTCAGGGTGGCGAGAAAATATGGGAGGATGGTTTTTTACATTAGTCTTGCTTTGTTAATTCAGAATGATTGAATTGGAAATATCATCATTCTGCAATACCAAGAAGAAGGAAAAAAAACCATTATATGTAGGAGAACATGGTTTTATTTGAAACATGGTTGAATTTTCGTTACGTGTAAAATTCTCCTAGTCTTGGAACATGAAGAAACATTAGAAGGAAATAATAAATTGCTAGTTTCAGAGATCCATTAATCAACTGCAGGTGAAATCATCAATGAGAGTTTCCATGTGAATTCGAAGGCCAGCCCATCATACTATAATGACACAACAAAGTTGAATTAAGATTTGTATGTAACGGCTCAAGAAGTCAATTGGAAGCTTAATCAGTTAGAAAATGATATCTTAAGAGTTTGGATCAGTTGTTGCAGGATGAAAGCTCTACGAATGAAAAAGATAAATTGCCACTGAATCATCAAGAAACAAAGGATTAAAGAATCTAAACATGAAGTTTCATCTTCCTTACGTACCCAAGAATGAAGTCAGATTGAATCCAACTTTCATATTACAAAGGTTAATTCTATTAATTGTGTGGGTTTTGATGAAATGAGAGATAAAGAGGATGATAAATTTGTTCTTGATTTCATTAATAAATTTACACGAAAGAATTTAATTGATATTAAAAATTAACAATGTTGTGATGATTCTGAGGTTCAATATATAGTATTGAGCAAGACGAAATTTTTGAATTTCAATTTTGAGAATGAGGATATTACAAGAAATGGTTTTGTAGGTAAGGATGGTTGTGTTGGACGTAATTTCTTGTGCCAAATTGTTTTTTGGGTCAACTTCAAGAACTGCTATCTTTTTAATGGCATGCATGTTGAGGACATTAAACCTACAGATGGACAAGGGTTGTTGCATTAGAAGGGGAGGGTGTGTCTAGTTATGCATATGCTCTAGAAGGTTTACAAGAAGCATCAAATTGTTCATTTGAGTTTTACAGGAATAACAACATTACATTGCAACCAAAAAACCAGCTCACTTTTGAAGCAAATGTTGGCATTGAATTGCAACTGGAAGATGGATTTAGATTTGAAGCAACAATCTGCTCCATAGAGATTAAGGATAATTTGAATGATGAGTGTGGGATAATCATTGATAATTGCTTGTGTTACTTTCAACTTGGTGTACATATGGTAGAAATTGAACCCACAAGTACCCTTCCTTGGCTTCAACTGTCAAAACTTAAGCTACCAGAAAAGAATGCTCTGTTCCAAAAAGCATATGAATTAGAGAGCAATTATAGTATTGTGTATCAATATCAGTGCATCTTGGTTATAAAGGATTGCTATGATAAATTTTTGAAAGACAAATTGAAAATACATTTCATAGCTATTGAACTCTTTACAAGAACTTTTGGGATGAAAACTACATTATTCGACAAGCTCTGAAGTGTTGTTGTTGAAGAGCTTGACACATGTGAATGTATAGAAATAACAACTTTTAACTTTGATACTGGAGGCTTTGGCTTGAGTGAGCTTCTAGCAGAAATGGACTAGAGAGTCAAAATCTAGTGGAGGAAAGTATTTGGCCAATGCTTGCCCAAAAAAGCTTAAAGGCTTTAGGTGGTCTTGGATTGCTCTCTTTTGGAAGGAAATAACTTCTAAGGCAAGTTTTTGAAGTTGCTATAGAAGCAGAGAGTTCAGAAGCATTTGTTGCTCTCTACCTACTAACAGTTGCTAGGATTTCACTTCTCACCTAAATGTTGAGCTTAAGTGACACATTTGGAGTAATCTTAGTGAGAGCATTCTTGAGGGAGAGGATGTGAAATGTGTTGCAGGAAATGCAATACATAATTCAATTATTATCTCTGCAATAGAAGTTAGATTCAAGTGAAGTAACTGGATGCTTGCTTTCTTCAAAGTGTAATAGAGCGTAAGGTTCTTTAATTGACCCTTGAGGACAAGGGTGTTTAAGGAGAAAATTTTGTTACATGTAAAATCCTTGATCAATATATTTTCTTTACCATACACATGGACTAATTAGGAATGGCCATTTGTACAAATATCATTGGTTGACTTATCAGTTGTTTGCCATCTATTGTACATAAAATGTTAGGAAACCTTGTAAATTAGAGTGTGAAATATAATCAATTTCTTCTTCTCCTGCGTTTCCTTCTCTCTCTGTTCCTTGTTCTTCTATCCTCATCTCTTATTCTAGAATAATTCTAAATTCTTCTTCAATTCCCAAATTGAACTGCATCAATTTTACATAAGGAACATTATAGATTGTTGAAAGGATCATTGAAGTGGGGTTTTCAAAATTAGGTAGATAAAAGGAAAGCTAGAGCATAAAGAACAACAACAATCAAACAAATTGCTTTTTAAAGCTATTCGGTCTCAAGGCTTGAAACTTAATAGTCCTTTGAAATTGTGGGCTTTGTATCCTGATAGATTGTTACTTTCATGATCAAACTTCACATATTTATCCACCATTGTGACTTGTTTAAAGATACTAGTGGTTGGAAAGGTTCTTATCTTTGTACATACGGAATCCATTATATCTGCAAGTTTGTAGTTTCGTTGTTCTTGTTAATTTTTATGATTGGGTTATGGTCTAGAGAATGCGGCTAGGTTCAGACCTTCCTATTGTTATTCGTTATGAATGATACAATTGTGTAAATTGGCGGAATTGAATAATATAATTTGTTACTGTCTATTGACCAATGTAACATCACACTTTGAAATCATTTGTATTAAGCTAGATAATTGAAATTGGATTTTATCAAAAAAAAAAAAAAATTTAACTTTATTATAGATATATTGATTTATATTTTTGTATTTATTCAATGAGATATGTTCGCACTAACAAATTGAATTAAGGTATGTAGGTTAGAATTTTTTATTTTTATTTTTTATTTTTTTACCATAGATAGGACTCTATAGTCTACATCAGTGATTAGGCATTAGTAGTTAGTAGTTCACAGGGTAGAAACATTAGATTCTAGTAATTAGGCTATGTTGCAGTCTGCTATCCTGATGGAAAAAATTAAGTTAGGTTGGCAAGAAAGCATCTGAACAATCTATCTGACTTTGGGACCGCTTTCATCTTCCATGCTGCCCTTCACGTATTGCTTTCGATATCTCTCTGCTGGCCGAGGGAGCATTTCGTGCATTAGAATAGAGACAATACTGAGTAACCAAAACCCTAGCTTAACCGTGTAAAAACCTTGATGCCAAACAATTATATATATATCCTTCTTAGGAAATAACGGAATACGAATATTAGAAATGGTGTGCATGCAAAAATTTATGGTGTAGCTGTAACTACCAATAGTTATAGCAGAAAAGAGAGAAAGAGACAGAAATTGACTTTCGAGAACACCAAAAATTAAAATAATAAAACTTCTCTTTCTTTCCCCTTTCAAGCGAGGTTGATTGTAACTATTGGTGGTTACAGCGTTTGAATCATAAAACTTCTCTGCTTTGTACTCCATCCTCAGGAAAAGGTCATGCATTTGTTCAACTCCACAATACCAGCCGAAGCACGGGATACATTGCCCCTTTTTCTGAGTCCATAAAGCCACAATTTTTTGGAAAGTAAATCCCCTTCAGAACTTTCACCCGCAAGTCGTCAGGTCTGGTTAGAATTTGCCACCCCTGTTTCACTAGTGAGGCAGTGTTGAACTACCCAAATCCCAATTAACTTTCCTATTTTCCGCATCTGAATTCCACCAAAATCTTTCAAATCAGCTTATCAATGTCGCTACAGCAGGTTTTTGGCAACTTGAAACACGGCACGGCGTAAGTTGATAGTTGCCAATACCAGCTTGATCATGACCTGCCTTCCATCCTGAGATAGCAAACTGCCCTTCTAGCCTTGAATCTTGTTCTCAACCATGTCCCAAATGTATGAAAGAGCTTAATTTTTATCCACCCATTCAGGTGGTAAGCCCCGTTAACCAACAACTGGAGTTGCAGCTGCCTTCCTCAGAAATTCCATCATGTTGGAGCTCGAGGACATGTAGCTTTTGGAGCGAATGTATTTCTAATGGGTTGAAGACCATATCAACAGGTAACTAACCGACTGCCAGAAAGTTCTATCATAAATTTCAGGATTATGAAACCAAAGCCAACCCTTTCAACCATACCAACCCTAAGAACCTTATAAACGTTTGGTCAAGGTAAAATTAGTCCTTACCTTTAAATTTTCAGTTCTTTGGTCCTTGTCTTATTTGTTTTTGGAATAATATACTCTGTTGTGGTCAAGTATTCTGGTTTCTGGACTGGCGAAATTTTACCGTTACAATAACCCCCATAAACTTAACTCCATGATGCAAGTCACTATTACCGAGAAGTCAGACCCATGTGCAGCTTTTGAATCTTGCAGTGTTTTATTTCCTTTGAAGCTAACACAAGCTTCAAAAAGTTATATCATCCACAAAATCTTTGAATAGCAATCTTTCTCTGTTAAATGGGGGTTGCTTTGTTGGACGCAGGATCATCTCCAAGTAATTTTTAAAAAACCACCAAAAAATCTACTCTTATAAGAAGTGAGAAAGTTTTTACCGGTGGCATGTGAAAGGTAAAAAGATGAAAACCACCAAATAATCTATCCTGATAAGAATTGAGAAAGATTTTACCAGTTCCATAAGAAACGTAAAAAGATGAAAACATGAACAAGCATGATCTCTCACAACTTGGATATCCAAGATAACCTTGTCTATGACAGCCCCGACTCCCAACAACAGGGGGACAATGACAACTAACACAAACTTATTTCGGTCACACTCCCGATTCTCAATTGTGGCTATGCTGGAGTTGATTTGGTATAGAAGCGGACTCCAACAGCCATGCCTAAGATTATCAGGGGAACAAGGAACTGCAGGACCTTGATGATGAACTGTGGTGTCTTGTCTTGGTTGTAGTGAGGTTGTTTAGGAGGAGTGTACTTGGTCTTGGTAGGGATGGTTGCTGTATCAATATCACCTACGTAGAACTCATCCATCATTGCTCTTGCACTGCTACTGTGACCAACATCCTCAAAGTCATCAGTTGCATCCTTCCCTATTGACCATACATCAAACTCAAAGCATTAATGGGCATCTCTAAACACATCACTAGAATTTTGTTTGCTATATGTCTTCATACCTGTGGCTGACAGCAAAACCTCATCACCACCAGGATGGTCATCCAAAAATTTTGTCACGTCGTATACCTGTTCCAACACATTGTAATCTCAAATTCCAGGTATGTCAAAATTGGAGGACATAATTTCATGCCATTCAAAACCAAGCAGAGTTTGCATAATGAAGAACCCCAAATTTCTGAGTTAATTTGCCTTCAGAAATAGTGAATTGATCATTTCTGATCTACCATGGCTTGATCTCTGCTCCTTCATTAGCTCAATAGCATTCTCTCAAAAACTAAGCACATGATGGATAACTATATGCAGGTTGGCCATCTTCTCTAAATTATTTAAGGAAATGACTAAATTTCAATGTCATTTATGGCTGAAGCTACATTTTTCTAACTCTTCTCAAACTAAGAAAAGAAAAGAAAGAAAGGGTTGATTCAGCAAAACAACAAAGGGATCTAAAGAATCCTATAGATACATGCCTTTGCATCATAACTCAACAAGAAATACAAAATGACGAAAGCAGCTTAAGGAACCCGTGAGAGAAGAGATTCCAACACCAAAACTTACAACCTACTGTCCGCCCTCCCCTCCTCTTCAGGGCAACAAATATTGAACTCTATAAATCTTGAGAATGGGTTGGGCTGCTGATGATCATGACTTGCATATAAATGAAAAGAAAAAAGAAAAACAGAGAAAAAGTCCTGTTGATAGGTAATCCTTGTTACACAGTAAATGAGCGATGGAATGGATCTGTCTGCCGATTAAAATCAATTTTCACACACAATGATAACCATCCAAGTTAATCACTAATCATGATGCTATGCAATTTAAGTCCCTCCGACCATAATTTAAAGTTTGCATATTTTCAGAATTATAGGTGATACTAGTTGATTCAGCCCAATGAGTCCGGCTCCAATAAGCTAAAGAGTATGAGAACCAAAATAGTCTAAACATATGAAATTATTGACCACTAAGTTCACAAAAAAGTGAGGTTCCAAAAATTCTCTCAACCATCCTTCTGCACCCCATCAGTGTCATCATGAACATTCACCAGAAAAATAAATCATGATTTCCGCAGACATTATTAAATTGTTGTTGCTGTTGTCGTAGGAACATTTAAAATGTAATCTAACTCCTACAACAACAACCCAACCCAACCCAACCCAGCCAAGCCTCGATCTCAAACTAGTTGGTCTCGGCTATATGTATCCTTTCGTCAATAATTTCTAATCTACAAAAAATGTCACATGATTCTAACAATCAAAGTTTTTCTCTAAGAAATCAGAATTCCAAATCTAACTGACGAGAAAACAAAAACATTCGATTATAACAAAAATAAGACTGAAATCATGAAACCAATAACAAGAACTTGAAATAAGAAGCCACAAGAATTATATGATGACCCATCATTCCAAAAACAGGAAAAAAAGAGGGGGGGGGGGTATGTAAGAGAAAGCGGGAAAGAAAATAAAAGGGGTACCTTGCCCTCAATGACGAGCCAGCAATCCTTGCGGCTGCTGTGTTCGGAGACATGGGCCAAACTGTATACCTTGCCGTTGCCACCCATTGTGCGTTTTATTTACTCTTTCGGAAAATGATTTAGATTACTTCCTTCTTCCTCTGGAATTGTGCTATTCTTTGAGCTACTCAATCACAAGATATTTAAGTGGTTTTGAATGGAAATCTTTGGATTACGGACACCAAGAAATGAATGGAGAAAAAGCGAGAGAAGAGAGGTGGAGGAGAAGGTGGGTATGGTAGTTGGTGAAACTCAATTTTTTTTATTAATTATTTGTGGGGTTGGTATGGGGTGGGAGGCCTTTGTCAATTCCCACCTACCAACTGAATTTTTTTATATCATTATTATTTTCTTGACTAGATTATAAAATTAGTTCTTTTAATTCTGACAGATAAATTAATTAATATAATCAGTTTTGAAACTATTTATTTATGTTTTTTAATTTATTTTATTTCTTTTTTTAAATTAAAAGAAAAAAATTAAATAATTTTTATAGAAAGATTAATGTGTAAAAAAATATTTTTTTAAATAAAATGATACTAAATTAAACTAAACCTAATCATATTTTTTATAATAGAGATTTTATATATATATAAGCAATTTAAACCCATATATATAATAAGCTTAAACTATATCAGCCACCTTTTGCCCCCAACTCTCCTTTTCTCCCTTTTTTTTTTTTTCCTTACCTACATCTACATATCCTGGGCAAAACCGTATTAAAAAAATTAAATAATTAAAAAGTAACCATCATTATTTATTATATGAATCTGTTTTAAAGAAAAAGAAAAAAAAATTATATCCGAATCTAAAAAAAAAAAAGATAAAAATATTTTTATTTAGATTCAATTCTTTTTCTTTCTCATTTGTGCCTCGATTGTAATATTAATTGTCCGCTCACATGATACATGTTTGTAGAATATAAAATTAATTATGATACATAATATTTAAATTTTATATAATTAATTAAGATACACATACTAATTATAATACATGCTATTAATGACGATTAATGTATCCAATTAATTATGATATATTTAATTAATAATGATACACAATCAAGTTTTAATGGGAAACTTAAGTTAAGGCTATAAAAAAAACAAAAAATCTAGTCTTCTCTAAATCTTTTAATAAAAAAGAAAAAAAGAAAACTAAAGATTATATACCGATGTTTAAAGGAAAAGATTGTTAAATTATTTTATATCGGTTGTACAATGGGTTAGGTGTTTTGTTATAACTACAAAGGGAAATCTCATTCTTTGAACTAACTGTTGGGATTGAAAGGACCCAATAGCATCCAATACTAACATATATCGATAATAAAATTTTCTCAACTAAATATATATAAAAAAATTGAAACAATATTTTATTATGTAAAAACAAATTGAGTTGTTGACTTTTTTATAAAAAAAAAATTGCACTTGCAACGGGCACTTGAGTTTCAAATAATTGTAAATAATTCAAATTGGCTTTTTTCTCCATAAATTCTTCAGAGTTGAAGCAATATGGAAGGAGTCAATGGATTATAAGATCTCACTCACACTCATTGGATTTATGAAAAATTCATTCTACCTAACTCAATTTGTTTGGAAAAGAAAAAAAAAGTGATGAAACGAAGAAAAAAGGAAAATGGTCTTTGGCCCAAGAAACTTAGAGTGGAATATATATTCCACTAGTTTGTTTTTGCTCATTAATTTGTTTTGCCCAATTATTTTAGGTTTGTTGTACTAAAAATTCATAAATTTTACACGTTTTAATTATTTTATCATGATTTTTCAATGTTGGATAAAAAAAATATAAACTAAATTTCTAATAATCATATTAACACGTAAGAATTTTTCGAACAAGATTTCGATTTTAATTGACATGAAAGGTAAATAGAATAACAACAAGAATTAAAAGCCACCTATGATTTTACATAGTTTAGCATGTAAAATTTTCTTTCTAATTCAGATAGCATGTTGCCCAAATGAAATGCAAAAATTTCTCAAATTCCAAATACAATTGAAATCCTAAAAATTCCAATCCTTCTAATGTCAAAACCCAAACCCAATCTTCTCCTATACCTCGACTAAACTCGAAAGAAATTGGGCATCAACGTGCCGGCATGAAAGGGTCCATGCCCAACCATAGCAAAGAGGAAATGGAAGCAAGGAGAATAGACCAGACGATGACAATTGTTGGCATAAGACTTTGCGAACCCAACAAACCCTTGAGGAAAGGATACAAATGGGCAATGACCCAGATTACAAAGAACAGGTTGCCCAATAATGCACCTCTTGATAGGTACCCACTGTATACGGCATCAGACACACCAGCCACAATACACATTTTCTTTAGCAAAATAAATGTGGTTGGAGGGACGAGAAGATATGTCCATTTGAACACAGAAAGCTCTGCAAAATCCCTATCTTCATCGTATGCTTTTGAAGTGACAGTGGAGTTGGTATAAATACATGCAAGCACTTTCAAAAGCCCTTGGAAGACAGCAAATAGATGAGTTGATGTACCACGAATGACCCATAATTGTTCATTCTTATACGAATCTTCAATACCAACTCCACTCCACCTAAGCTCAAGTATTCCATTGGCAAAAATAGAGATGAAAAGAAAAATGAACCACAAGTCAGCATAGTTACTTGTCTTAAAAGAAATTGTAACAAAATCATTGGTTTGTTGATTAAAATCTGAACCATAAGATCAACTAGTTAAAAGTCAAAATCTTGTCGAGGTAGAGAAAAAGATTGGGCTTGGGTTTTGAAATTAGAAAGATTGAGAATTTTTACGATTTCAATTAGGGTTGAGATTCAGAAAGTTTTTTGAATTTCATTTGGGCAAAATGCCATCCGACTTCAGGAAAAAATTTTAATTCTAAGCTCTTATGTGGTTTTTAATCATTGTTGTTCTCCTATTTATCTTATCATGTCGGTTGAAATTATAATCTTATCTAGAAAAATTTTCGCGTGCTAATAAAGTTATCAAAAGTTTAATTCATGTATTTTATATCTAACATTGAAAAACATACTAAAATGATTAAATTGTGTTAAATTTATGATTTTTTTAAGTACAATAAACCATTATTTTATAGAATATTTTATTGAGGGGAGGTAGTGAAAAATTCAATTTTTGTATCCATACAAATCAATTATTTTTATTTTATTTTATTTTTTATATTTAAATGTGTGTCATTTTTTTTTCAATTATGTTTCTATATTTTTATCTTTTTTTCAATTAATTTTTTTTCAAAATATATTAATTTAGTGATATGTTTAATAAATTGACATACAACATCTTTATTGTGGGGCACACCGTTTCTAAAAATACAACAAAGTCCAATTCAAATTTTAACTTGGTTTAGTTTGGTGATGGAAGGTTGAGTAAGTTTAGTTTACTGTTCTGATTTCTTTCTTTCTTTCTTTTCAATTCATGCCATCTATTTTTTTATTAAAAAATCATAATTTAACTTATTTATTTATTTTTTTCCTCAATAAATTCAAATGAAATCTACTTTTTATCACGTATTCATGGACCTTGATTACGTTAGCGTTTTCTATTTTTGGACGGCTGAAAAATTTTAAATAAAAAACAAATCAAATGTTTGAAATTTAAATAGATAAAATGAAAAGTTTGCTTTCAAACAAATAAAAAATTGAACACTCAAATTGTAGTTTTCTCGAAAACAATCAGGTTTTTTTTTTTTTTTTACATGGAGATAATAACATAATACATGTATGTATTTTAAGAATTTTTACAATCTAGTATTTCCCTTTTTTTTTTTTTAATGGATGTGTGGACTCTTGAAATTATACCAACCAAGTAAAATTTAAAAATAAGATATGTGTAACCTGAAAAACATTAATGAGATGTCATTTAAGTCATAAAATGGCAATTGTGACACGGATATTAAGTAATGATGTGGTACGAAAAAACAATTTTAGCATGAAATTTCCCTTCTTTTATTTTACAAAAGTAAATTCACTTTATTAAAAAAAATTGAGGTAATTGTATTATAAATATACTAACTTTTAATTTTTTTTTCTCAATTGAGCATATGAATTTTATTTTATTTTTGTCTCGGAGTACTAACTTTTTTTAAACTCGTCAATCAAGTACATTTATCAAAATTTTCATTAACTAATGATATGTCTCGTCTTTAATGTCCGGTATCCGCAAAAACGAGGAATGTATATTAAACTCGTCAATCAAGTACATTTATCAAATTTTTCATTAACTAATGACATGTCCGTCTTTAATGTCCGGTATCCGCTAAAATAGGAATGTAATAAAAGTTTAATATTAAAACCATGTGAAAATATATATATATATATATATATTTGAGAATGAGAAATAATTACTAGAAACTTAAAAGAATATTTAGAAGGGTCAAAATAGTTTTTCCATGATTAAAGAATATTTTAGTGGTTTTTCGGTACACGAATAGTAGTTATTGCATGAGAAAATTAATTAAAGCATGTTGTTTGTGTATGAAAAATATTTTGTTTGTTTAGAATGATTTTTAGAAGGGTGTTAGATTATTTTATATGATTTTATGAATTTTTTTACATATGGTGAATATTTCATTGAAATTTCTAAGTGTAGGAATAGTGTTTTTAGACATAAAGAATTAAATTAGGTGACTTAGAAGTATGAGAAATTTCTTTTAGGGCATAGGGAAATCCTAGGGAATGTGTAGGAATACTTAATAAAATTTAGATTAATTTTATTAGATGTAAGGAATATTTTCTATAAGAAATAGTCTAATTTTCACACTAAATAATTAATTTAGAGGCCTATATGAGGTCCAAACATTATGAAAATTTAGATTGAATCCTCTTAATAAATTTTTGAATATTTTATCGAAAGAAGTTAAATTTTAAAAAGTATAAAATAAAATTTTAGAGTTAAGGGGCTAATTGCATAGAAATTGGGGACTAGCTTGCATAAAATTTAAAGTTTGAACTTCTAAATTAAATTAGCTATAAATCTAAGGAGTTTAAAATTTGTTAAAATTTCTTTTAAGGAAGGGATTGAAGTGATCAATTGACAAATTGAAGGATGGTGAAAGGAGTAATTAAGGAAAAAGATTAAGAAAATGAGGGACCAAAATTAAAGAATTTGTTTAGGCTTTTCTTCATGCTCTAGCTGAAATTTGGCTCCATAATTGAGCCACAATTAATGCATTTGACTTAAATAAAAAGGAAAGGCCATTAGGCATGCAAGGTGGAGGTATTTGGTTTAAAGAAAAATTAAAGGCCTAAAATTGTACAATTTGGAGGGATAAGTGTAACCCCCGTAAAAACCCTTATCCGTAACGCGACGTGTATTAGAATGATTCTATATATATGTATATTAAGAGTAAGTATAATTATCATTTCATCATGAGAAATTAATGATTGAAATATGTGATTTATGTTAAATTAAAGTTATTGTGCTTAAGATTAATGGTTTAATTATTAAAGAAATCAAATATGCAAAATCAGTGTTTTAAGGACTATATTCTGCCTGAGTTTTGTGTGAATTATTTGAGGACTTTAGGGTAATGTTTTGGTCAACCTTAAAGAATGAAAGTTGTTCATATATGTGTTGAATAGATCTGTATAAAAGTTTATAATATTTAGACCTATACATTAAGAGTTATACCAATTATAGTGAGGGTTGTTTCGAAATGCATTCTGCTGGAATTTTGGAAGAAGAATCTGCCCGAATCTTGTAAGATTTATTTGATGCTGTTAGATTGATTTTTGAGAAAAACTTAAAGAATAAAAGTTGTTTTTCTGTGTGTTTACTAGCTCTCTATAAAATTTCATAATTTTTTGATACATATAGAAAGCGTTATGCATATTTTAGTATAAATGGGTTAGGAGGAAACACTGCTGAAATTTTAGGGGAAAAGAAATTCCGAATTTTTAAAAATAGAAATTTCGGAATTTTTATGAAAGAAAGTAGTTTTAGTTACTTGAATTAAGTTAATTAATGATTTTAATTAGTCTAAATTTTATATAGACACCTAAGTAAATGCAATCAATGAATTTAATGCCAACTCACCCATTATGGATTCCAAAGCAGACCAACTTTCCTCATGACTCACCCATAACCTTTACACCTTATCCCATTAATTTCTAACACTTGTAGCTGAATGAAAGTAAGTATATATATAGCAAGTGTTAAAATAGGAGAAAAACTTTAGTAACCCGTAGGTACCAGAAATTGAGAGAGAAAAGGCAAGAAAGAAAAGAGAGGAAGAAAAACGTGAGGAGAGAAAGGAAAGAAAAGAAAAAGAGGAAGGGAAAAAGGAAAGAAAAAGAGCTAAGAAAACTATAATCAAACCTAAAAGAGGTAAGTAGGTTTCAATTTTTTGACTGATTAATGTCTTAAATTATTTTTTTTAAGTTATTTTGTTAGTGTTTATTTCATGGGTTGTAATAATTTTCAATGGTTATATGCTTGATGCTTGGGATAAATCTATATATGGATGCCTTGTTGTGATGATTTATGATGTTATGATTTTTTGAAAAATGTCCAAGTATGTGGTGATGGGTTGGATTGAACTTGGACTAAATTTAAGTGAACTAAAACATGTTTAAAATTGGCTTGGAATGAACTAATAAATTAGTGTTGATAAGGAGTAAATTCTGTCCGAATTTTGGGGTGTATGTTCAAGGATTTTAGATCGATTTTTAGGTGAAACTTAAAGCATAAAAGTTGTTCATCTATGTTTCAAATAACTTCCTTTAAAATTTCTTGGTCATTGGATTCGTTTACAAAGAGTTACACCCGATTTAGTATGGATAGCTCTAGATAAACTACTATTAGGCAGATTGTTCCCTAAGTTTCAAAAATTTGTAATTAATTGTATACTTGGTATTTAGACCTAATTTTTGGATATGTTATAAATAAATATGTCTAGTATCTAACATAAAATGAGTAAGATTTAATTATGTTCTGAAATTAGAAAATTATTTACTCGATTAGGAGTTGCCCGGTAATAAATCCTAAAACCAAAAAAATTAGATTTTGATAAAATTAATAGGTTTGGAATAAACTAAATGAGCTTGGACTAAATAAAATGGAATTAAATAGAGTCAATGGACCTAGGATAAAGTTAATGGGCTCGGATTAAAGTAAATGGACTTGGACCTTCTTTTAAATATTAATGAAACTAATGAATAATATTAATGAGCGAGAGATTGTGTTCTCGCTGTGGGTATCATGATTGGTATGTGAGCAATGGATAAATTTCGAGTGTGGGTTGTACCATGAGTATGGCATGAGAATGAAGGGTTGGTACCCGAATTTAGTTGAATGTGATTAAATATGTCATCACGTGCATCATGTGCATAGTGGGTGGTTTAAGACAAGTCAATTGATTGGGAAATGGTTTATACATCTAGGTTTGATAACCTAACTGGAATAAATGGGTATTAGTAGTCCAATACTCTAGGATGTGTGCCCGCACTATTAGACGATGGATTTCCGCTAATAGTAGTTACAACGAGAGATAATTCCGTTGTAGCGAGAAGATGATCCGAGGATCATCCGGATGAAATCAAGCTATGTGCTTCGCACTGTTAGACGATGGATTCCCGCTAACAGTAGTTACAACGAGGGATAATTCCGTTGTAGCAGAAGGTGATCTCGCGGACCACCCGGATGATAAATAGAGTAGATCGGCTAATACCTGTGGTACCCGAGATTAAAATTGATGAGTATGGTGGGAAGTCAAAACAACATTACATATCATATGCATCACCTCGCTTACCGAGCTTCGGCTCACCCCGTTGTTATTTTTTTTTATGTCTTGACGGAAAAAGGACAAGTTTGTATGGATGCGGTTGGCTCCTCCTAACTAGCTCATGTGAGGCACCATATATTAGTTTTTATTTTGTCCGTAAAATTGGGGTATGGAGTTCGTGAGAAATTGAATATCGCCCGTAATGTTTTATTAATGTATTTAATTATGTTATGTAAATTTTATCTTAAGGAGTTATATACGTAATGTACTATTAAAGTCCTAAGAATATCATAAGAAAACTACTTAGAGTTTAGGGTATGTCAGCGTAACGCACTTCGTCCAAGTACCTTACTTAGGTAATAGAAATATGACTAGGGCGGGAGCATTACAATAAGCTTTAACCAAAATTCAATGGCCAAGATCACTTCAAAACACCATAATTTCAATGGTTGAGATGAAGTCAAAAGTCTTTAAAAAAAAAATTGTCTATAAATAGGCAAGCATGAAAATGGCATAAAAATCGCAAAGAACCTAAAGGAAACTCTTGAAAAATTTTCCTAGGAAAATCACACCAAAGACTCACCAAAAACTTACTAAATCACTCCTACACACAATAAATCAACCTACTAAGTAAGGATATCAAGCTAAGAACTCAAGAAAAATTCAAGGAAGAAAAAGGGAGGTTAGGCCGAATTTTGAGGAAGAAGGAGGAAGGAGAAATTTTCGAATTTTTTACCTTTTTGAAGTTTAATTGGAGAATATTTAGGTAATTTAATTTCACCTACACCACAAAAATATTTAATTTCAAGTCAATTTCATGTTTAATTACTTCAATTTGCCTTGATTGCTAAATTAGAGAAAATTTAAGGTTAGGGTTCTTGGTGACCCAAATTTGGGAAAAATGATTTTGAACTCATAATTCATGCAATTAAGATAGAAAAAAGTTAATTAGTCTTGAAAATTTTGGTGAAAACTAAAAAATTCCTAACGTTAATTAAAAGGGTAACCATTCGGCCTAAACTAAAGAAATTTAGATTGGAATTCCAAGCAATCCTATTCTGTTTTGGTTAGTTATATACACTTAAATAAGTATATTTTGATGATTTGAAGTGAAAACTTCGTCAAAAGTTGAAGAAAATGGGTTTTATGGGCTTGGGCTCAATTTCGGTCCATTAAGGCCCAATACCGGTTTGGAAAAGATTTTGGGTCCCAAATTTCAATTAAATTAATTCCTATAGTTTTTAAATATCTAGACTACTTAGTGTTAAAATGGTGGGACAAAATGAGGAGAAAATGTTAGGATTCTAAAGAGGTCAAGTTTAGGCCTAAATGAGAATTTTGGAGAATTAGGTTTAAACCAAGTTTTAAACCTTAAATTTGATGATTCAGACTCAAAAAACAGTAAAAGGATGGTTTAGAATGAAAAAGACTCATAAATATTTAAAGAAAAATTGGGTTAGGAAAAATTGGGCCTTAGGCCCATTAAGGCCTAAATCGAAATCGAACCTCCTAATTCAATGAAATAATACCTAGATAGGTTGGAACATGAAATGATACTAAAATTGGTAAAGACCAAATATGAAAAGATAATTAAGAACATAAGGAAAATAATTTAGGAAAGTAAAGTGAAATGTAAGTTTAATGAATAAAGAAATGGAACAAAAATGTTCATCTTCTTTTATGTTATAGTTATGTTCTTTCAAATGCTATATGAATGCATTAGGTTATGAATAATGGTTATGCTTGAATGTGATTGATGATGAGAATTGGGTTATGATGATTGATGTGCCAATAATAACGATGTTAGTTTATATTGAATTAATATTATCTATGTCGTTATACTACCTAATTTTATATCAATTCTTATGACTTGGTTACATAACAATTCAAAGTGAGTATTCATGAATTCATACAACATGCTAGTTCATTGCAATTGCATACGCATGCTTAGCGCATGAATAATGTTTTAAGTTATGGAAATATATGTTATGTCATGGTTATCCGATAAGCAATCTGAATGATTTCAAAGAAAAAGATTTTCGTGACTTTGAGGTTTTGAAAAAAGGACTTCATGGGTTTTTCATACGAGTAATGGTAATGGTTCAAGGCCGAGCAAGTGCGGATGTGCACTTTTAGAGGCTTGGTAGGGCGTGTCCGTAGACGGGTCCTGTTCGCTGGACATATATTATGAAAACCCCGAAGCACCTAAATGGGACATGTCCATAGACGTAAAAAGGATTTTCGGATCGTTTTATGTTTTATGACATGAGAAAAAAGGCGAAAAAAGGATTTTCATAGTGTTTAATGTTTTATAACATGAGGAAAAAGGAGAGTTACTTTGCATAAAGCGAGTGTTACATACTTGCATATACTTGAACATGTATTACATGCATCCATTAACTTACCGATTTATCGCTCTTCTAGTTTCTTGTGGTGTAGATAAGTAAACCACTATGGCCTATTTCTCTATGGAGCCGATCGTCAAAGGAGGCACCCGACGTGTGTATCTTGGATGGGGGTTCGATTTTCGAGTAGATCCGAGTGCATGTTGTTTTTAATTATATTACGAGTTATAGTTCTATATGTACTTGATGTAGTCGACCTATCCTATACAATAGTAAAGGCTATGAAATGGTAAGCGATGTGACTCGATAATGGTGTGAAAGCAAATAAATCAATTTTGTAATAATTGACATAAAATTAGTCTTATATGTAAATAGCTAAAATGTGTAATCGAACCGATAATGACGAAATGATATGGTAGTAATAGGTGTGTAAATAAATAGTAACGAATAATTTAGTAAGTGAATAACATTAATGACTACCTAACAAGGTGAATGAATAAAAGTAAACAATTTAAGGAAACTCAAAAAATTTATAGCGACTTTTTAAAAAAGAAATAAGACCTAAGCGTTGTTACTAGACGCTCACCGCGTATACATCTTTAATTAAGTTATGATAAGATCATAGTGCCTTGTTAACCTACATTCATCGCACTTCAAATGTGGTTAACGATGATAATATCCTCGACCCATTAGGCCTTAGGTCGGGGTGTTACACTCGTCACTCTCAAAATACTAAATTATAATTTTATCTTTTTTTTTTCAAGTGAGTACGTGAAATTTAGTTTTTTTTTTCCTCAAGCACATCAACTTTGTTAAAATTATCAATCAAGTACTTCTATCTTTATTTTTGTTAACCGAAGACATTTTTGAGTATGAAATTATAATTTTATCCTTTTTTGTTGATGAAAACTTTCTCCCAAAACTATTCTACTATTTCAAAATTTGACAAATAAGTAAAAAGTATTTTTTTAGCTATAAAATCCAAAATTAAATTTAGATAGGTTTGTTGTTAAAAAAAAAAAACTTCATTCACATTTGTGTTTCCTTTAACTTTTATGCCTAAAACCTAATTGAGTTTTTTTTTTTTTTTTTTTTTTTTAATGAGTTTAGTTTGAAATTTTATAGCTAAAAAATAACTTTTTTTAAACCTTTTTGTCAAATTTAAAAATGGTAGAATATTTTGGAGGGCAAGTTCCTTGCAGCAAAAGTAACGAAAAAAATATAATTTGATTTTCGAATACATCATTAGTTAATAAAAAATATAAAAAACTACTTGATTTTTTTTAAAATATTAGTATACTCAAATGAAAAAAATAAAATAAAGTTCATGTACTTAATTGAGGAAAAAAAACAAAATTTCATGTTCTGGTATTTTGAGGGTAGTATACACATCATTAATTAACATAAAAATTGACAAAAATCTTGATTGACACTTCTAAAAAAGCTAATCTATTAAAATAAAATTTATATACTCCATTGAGAAACTTGGTGTGTCATTGGACATAGAAAATTTGTACAAATACACGCAGCTGAAGTTTTCATTACCTCCTTCAACGGGCCGAAACTTTGGGCTTGTTATTTATGTACCGTACAAATTATTTGCAAACCCATCTCACAATTGACATGGTCCAACTTGATTAAACGTCATTGGGCCCAATTCTATTACCAACAACAGCTAACCGTACACAACTCGCTTGACGCACTCTTTAACCCTACCCTCAAAAACCCTAGCCACCCTCAGTTATATACTCCTTCGCCACCGAATTCAACTTCTTTTGAGAAAGAGAGACGGAGAGAAAGAGAGGCAGCAAAAATGGTGTCGGGATCAGGAATTTGTGCGAAGGTGGTGGTGGTGGATGCGAGACACCACATGCTTGGGCGTTTGGCATCGATCATTGCTAAGGAGCTCTTGAACGGGCAGAGAGTTGTGGTTGTTAGGTGCGAGGAGATATGCATGTCTGGTGGGCTTGTGAGACAGAAGATGAAGTACATGAGGTTTCTCCGCAAGCGCATGAACACCAAGCCTTCTCATGGTCCCATCCACTTCCGCGCCCCTGCAAAGATCTTCTGGCGTACAGTCCGTGGGTCCGTCTCTTCCGTGTTTGATATTTATACTTGGTTCTGTTTGTTTCTATTTATTTGGTTGACATTTGTTAAGGAAATGGTTTGTCGAGCTGATTTTTCAATGATTATTTTAGTGTTTTAAGAATGTGGCTTGTTTTAGTGTTGCAAATGTGAAAAGCTTTTTATTTGGTACTTTGATAGAATGATACCACACAAGACTAAGAGAGGAGAGGCAGCACTTGCAAGATTGAAGGCTTATGAGGGAATCCCACCTCCATATGACAAGAAGAAGAGGATGGTTATCCCCGATGCTCTTAAGTGAGTTTTTTTAGCTTATCGTGACTCTTTGGCTGTGGATTGTGACTTATTCATATTTGTGTTACGTGTTTTGAAGTATAAAGTTATTTGTTACTGATTGTTCTATCTTTTGGTTATGAAAATCAGGGTATTGAGGCTTCAGAAGGGGCACAAGTACTGCTTGTTGGGCAAACTGTCATCCGAGGTTGGATGGAACCACTATGACACCATCAGGGTGAGTTTTAGCTTCCTTAGATTGTCTAACTATGATCTCACTGTTGAATGAATTAGGATTAAACTTATTGTATCTTGCTATGATGTCTGCATTATACTTTATCTGGCTTTAGAACATATGCTATTTCTATTCTAGTTGGTTGCTTATTTATCCACAAAGATTGATGGATCCAAGTTGATGTTTTGATATCTATTTAGTTTTCATGGAATGTAGAACTCGGTTCCTCTTTTTTTATTTTTTTTTTTGAAATATCAGTACCCTTTCTAACTTGTTTCCCTTTGGAATGTTTATTACTGTTTCTTTGGTAGATGTAAAGAACTATTGCTTAAGAACATTGTGTAGAACTGTAGATGCTTTTTAGTTTTGCTGATCAAGTTGCTAGTTGTGGTATCAAGCAACGTTTATCAAGTCTCACCCTCATCAGGAATGGAAGTACTCAAGGGAAAGGGATGGATACCTGCAGTTTTATAGCCATGGATTTTTGTGCTTCCCAGATAATAAAAATAAACAACAACAAAATTTGTTAAACTCTCATCTCTGATCTATAAAAAGGGATTATTAAAAGCTGATTAGATTTTGTTATTACTTTATATGTACTAGGCTGTTCTAATTTGTGTCGAATGCCTTTTTTGTTCAGCACTTTATCAAGGTGACAATGTTAGCCAAAACAATGGTGCTGTTATTATGGGCTTTGACCTTGTTGGCATCAGAACTCTTGTGCTTTGCATCTCTTTACTCTCTGTTGGGTTAATAAAGGGCATGCTCCATCAGATCATTGATATATTTTTTGGGTGTGTTATGAGAGTCTGGATTTGATAAGTAGACAGTTATTGTACTGTTCCCACTGCATCGTTTGGAAGTAGCAATGAGATGGTCGTTAGTTACCTTCCCAATTTGATTGTCAGCTATGTATTTCCAGTTATTTGAATGTCTTGTTTTTTCTTGTTGAATTTTTTTTTTGTTTTTTTGAAACTCTTGAATAGCATATGAATTTGATGATTGAAATATATATGCAAGTTTTCTCATTGTCTGATCACTCAACAGGAACTGGAAGAGAAGAGGAAGGAGAGATCCCAGGTTAGATATGAAAGGAAGAAGCAGCTCAACAAACTCAGGGCTAAGGCTGAGGTTACTGCAGAAGAAAAGCTTGGTCCCCAAGTAGATATCCTTGCACCTGTTAAGTACTGACCTTTGAGGTTTTAGCTAGTTCACAATTTTGTTTGGGATTCTGTTTTTTTTTTTTTTTTAAATCGATGCCAGGGTGCTATTTTTTGTTTAAAAAGTTTGAATCTGTTAAAACTCCAGTGGTTATTTAGCATCACTTATTGGAATATTGAATGATTTAGATATATTTCAAATTCCTTTGTTTGCCAATGGATAATACCTTAGGTCTTCTTTTAGACTATGATCACGTTTAATTGTTAGCATAAGATGTCTGAACGAATGTGTGATTTTGGAGACAAGTAATTTGTCGTTTTTGTTCTGCCATACGAACTGATTTCTTGTGCTGCATCAATGTATTTGTGTTCCAAAAGTTAGTTTCTTTCTTCAATTTCGAGAAATGATGTGAATGATATAATGCAGCCTGCCTTTTCTCCATGATGCGGCAGCAGATGATTTTCAGCTGCAATTGTTGTCGGTTTTGAACCCTCCCAGCACGGGAGTTGGCCTATTGTTTGTAAATGCTCGCGGTAAATAATTTTTATTTGTTCAAAGGCAAGCAGCATTTGGTGGAAAGTCGAGTAGTATGGAAAAGAATTTTGAAATTCATTTCAGTGAACGTTCAAAGTTTTTGGTGCTCTTAGTTGTACTAGCAACACCAGCACCACAAGTATTTGAATGGTAGGGTTGTGGACAAAAGGGGAAAAAAGATAAGGGTTTATAGTTGTACTTAAAACATCTGGGAATCGCATAAATGTTGAAGGAATTGGAGTAGGTCGATCTCTTAATCGTGTCTCTTTGAGATCTTCAAGGTTGAACAGAACTAGCCTCTGGCAAGTGTGAGTGAAGCAATACAGATGAAATAGGTCGAGGGTCGTCCATATCGTAGGCAATACAAGAACTTGTTTGCTTGGTTTTTGGGCTGCTTCAAGGCCCTGAGTCTGAATTATTACCTCGTCTGTGGCTCATGGCAATTTCATCAAGCAAAGCAAATAAAGCACACTTGCTTTTACAATTTGTCAAGATTTAGTTTTGGACAGTGAAGTGCATCATCATCATCATCATCATCATCGCAAATTTAAAGAGTAATTTATAATTTAGGCAATCTAGTTTTGATAAACAAATAATTAGTTCTCTCTTTTAAAAATTAATTATTTAATATTTTTGTCAATTTATGTGTGTTTTTTTTTAAATTTATTTTGATATTATGGAAAGATAGATGAGTAAAACATATATTTTTAAAAATAAAATAATATTAAATTAAGTGTGGTCAATATTCATAAAAAAATTAAATAATTAGTTTTTAAAGTAAAAAATAATTAATTCATTTTTCAAAACTAGAGAAATTAATTTCTAATTTAATCCAAATTTAATTGTTCTATTTTTTCCAGTAAAATAAATAGTCTTTAATTTGTTTGCCTTCAAGGATATTGATTCTGTTGTTTCTTTTAATGGTCAAATTTGATGTTAGAAGGATCACCCTGTTGCTGCAGGGGTTTACGTTGGGCCAAACTTCATTGTGAAGGTAACCAAAGCCCATCTCTTGTTTTTCTTTTCAGGCCTATTAAGACAGCTGGAGTTGGAACTTGCAATGGGTAAGTAATGGTTGTAGGGATTCTTTACCCTCTTTTTTTTTTCATCTTTATTGTGTTTTTTATTTTTCTTCTTCTTAAATTCATTATTCTATGTTTCGTTTTTGTTTTAAATTCTTCATTCTATTAAATTTTAAGCTAATAATGTTAAATCGTATCATTGGGCCCACTTGATTGCAACACGCGTCAAAAAAGTTTTTTTTTTCCCATCTTACTCTTGCCCCTCTACTTTCTTTTTTTTTTTTTTTTCCCTGAATGCATAAATAAATTAGGCAGGGAAAATAAAAAAGAAAAAAAATTATTGATTTTCCCTATAAATGAATACTTTTTTCCTGTAAATACTGCATATTTTATTTCATTCATAAATCTGTTTTCTTTCCTGCAAGTTCTACTCTTATATATATATATATATATATATATACATATATCAAAGGAATTTTAGTTAAATTTTTGAATGATATTTATAATTTTATAATCATTGGTGAGTGAATATTAAAAAAAAAAATCTTAAAAAAATTTATAACCCCAACATTGAGTCAAATTAAAAAATAAAATAAAAATAAAAAATTATAATAATTTTTTTAAAAATATATATTTCTATTTTTGAGTCAAATTAAGAAATTTTTTGAATAAAAATAACTAAATTATATTTGATGTATTTTAAATTATAAATACCATTTAGAACTTTAAAAATTTAACTAAAATTCTCTTGATATTTTTTTTTAAAAAAATACTATAAATATTTTATTTTATACTCAAATTTGCTTACTATTAGTTGATCCATAAAGGATACTTGGGATAAAAAAATATTTTTGTATTCATTTTTTAGAAAAAAAAACGGATATATCTTCTCCTTCAATTTTTTTTCTTCTAAAATTCATTTATTTAAATTCAGGAAAAAAAAGTGCATAGAAACAAAATTAAGATGAAAAAAAGGGGTTGATCATGGTAAATTTAATATTATTTTGTTTCAAAGAATATCTTTTTTTCTCACCAATTTATTTATTTTGTACTTATTTTTATTTTTTAAATAAAAAATCAAAATAAATTAAAAGAGAACAGAAATGATTAACTTACAAATATATTTAAAAATATAAGAACAAATTAATTAGTTTTTTAAACTAGAATAACTATTTAATTCGTTTTGAAGCAAAAGAAGAGCTAATTTATAATTTACTCCTTCACATCCCATCATTCTTGTCCCAAAAATTTCTTTTCAATTTCTGCATGAGAGATGGATGGGATTGGGTGGTCTTCATCTTTATCAAGCTTGTCAAATTATTGATTTTGGGCTTTTGGGTTCATGGAATTTTAAGGTAGCTTTCCTTGGAGGGAAAGATACACAGCCTGGTATAATGTGGAGTGAGAGTATGATTGAAGAAAGTGATTATTGCAAATTGTAATTATAGCGCTGCATGGTGCATTGTGCGTGTACAATAAGCATCCCATGCATCATTCCACCAATCTCAAAACTATTTCAATTATCAAATACCTAACCCTAATCCTAATTTTTTTTTTTAATCCACTAAGATGTTTTAGGCCTCAAGACCTAAATTAATTCTTCGTTATTCTGTTGGACGTATAAAATAAAAAAACTATTAAATTTTTTTATATATACACAAAAACTTGAATTCAAAATTATTTTTTAAAGTAATTAAAATCTTTTTCACTCATGTCATATTTTTTGATAACCCTAATCCTCTTCCGATCTAATAAATTGGCATCTCTCTTTATAACACATTGAAGCCCATGTGTAAGTGGGAGTGTAGTTTTTGTAATTTCATAATTATTCGAAACAATGTTCCAACTCAACTCAAGCCTAATTTCGAATAATAAATTTCAAAATAAACCTATTAAAATGTTTTTTACTTTTAGCATATTAGATGCGTGGAAGCAAACACACTAAAACTTGGAAGTAAAAATATTCATTTAAAAATGATTTGAATTGACGTCAAAAATTGGTTTTCACTTTTCAAAATCAATTAAGGAAGAGAAAGATATTAACATCAATTGAGCCAAAACTCATCTGCAGATAAATTTCTTCAGTTGCTTTTTAACTGCCACTGTTACCTTTGGATTTGGTACTAATGATATGTTAGCCATTAAGAGTACTATTGTTATTACTATTAGGTTGAAAAGATCAAACCTCCTTTGAAGTTTAGTTCATTTAAAAATCAGTTTCTAAATTTTTAACTTATGTTTTTATCTACTCGAATTTTATTTTATTTTTTAAAGTTCAGTCTATCTTATGATTTTCGGTTATCACTCTTTCCCTCTAAAAAAATATATTTTTTTATATATTTAAATTTGAAGTTTTGCATATACGTTGAAAAGAAAATCTAATTCATTTTCTAAGAAAATTCTAAAATTATATTTCTTTATTTCTTGAACAATAAAAATATAAAAAATCAGAAAAAATAGAAAATAATCCGAAATGATTTCATTTTTTTTTTTTTTGAAGAGTTTCAGATAAATATCACTCAATGATTTTTATCATAAGATTATGTATGTAATTGTATTTTTTTCAGAATAAAAGACAGAAAACAAAAAGATTAACTAAATCTCAAAAAAAAAAAAATCTAAAAGTTCAGATACTGGTTTTCAAATATACTAAAAATTGAGGAGAGATTTGGCCTCTTTACCCATAGTATTACATAAACAGAGTAGAAGTTAGTGTAGTAGTGTCACAGCCCATAGTATTACATAAACAGAGTAGAAGTTAGTGTAGTAGTGTCACAGCAGAGAGAGATAAATCCATGGCCAACTAAGAAGCACAAAGCAAATTAATAATGATTGATTATCATCCTTAACAAGCAATAATCATGAGTCATTAATCTATTAATATGCGGCCACCCTACTAATGAAACACTACTCCTGGCCATATCAGCCTGTCCCTTCATATTTTCATGCTTTCTTTTTTGATAAAGTTAAAAGAGAGTAGTAAAGAAAAGACTAACAATTTCTTTGGTTTATATACATATATTGTCTGGTTGTACTCCTGAGGGGTAAGGATCTGGTTCTATGGCCTTCAAATGCTTCTGGCTTGGCTTCATTCTGTTGTGTAGCCTCTGGATTGTTGGTTTCTGTAATCAAGAAGGTATGTATTGCCAACTAAATTTATGTAATTTTAAGACCAACTTAATCTTGATTCATTATCCTTAAATATAATGTTTTTGCATGCTTGTTGAACTAGTACAGGTTTCTATTTCTTGAGTTTATCTTGTGGTGGAACTACGGATTACGTTGATGCATCCAACATCTCATGGGTCTCAGATGGTGCATACATCAGGACAGGCAAAACAGGTAGCATTGATTTCGTTGATGGGACATCCTCCTCTAATGTCCCTCTGCGCTTTTTCCCAGATCATAAGCAAAGTAGACAGTACTGTTATAAACTACCAGTGAATAAGAAGAATATGTCAGTTTCCTCATCCAGCTTGGTTCTAGTTAGAGCTCAATTTTTGTACCAGAATTACGACAGACTTGGGAAACCCCCTGCCTTTTCTGTTTCTCTTGGCACTGCCATTTCTGCTACTGTGAACCTCACCACTAAGGATCCATGGACAGAAGAGTTTGTGTGGCCACTTGATAATAGTTCTAAGGATATACTTTCCTTTTGCTTACATTCTGTTCCACATGGTGGATTTCCAGTTATTTCATCTCTTGAAGTTCGACCACTTCCTCAGGGAGCTTACCAAACTGGCATGGAAGATTTCCCAAATAAGTTGCTCAAGAAGTCTTACCGCACCAATAGTGGTTCTACCTCTAAATCTAATGGGTCCTTGCGGTAAGATTTAACTAAGAACCTCTTCTCCTAATTCCTTGCTAGATGTATGCACGTTTAGTGCTTTTTTTGTTAACATATATAACTAAAACAGGTACCCTTTGGATCCGTATGATCGTATCTGGGAAACTGATCAAAACTATACACCCTTTCACGTTTCCACTGGATTCAGTGTTTTACATAGCTTCAATTTGTCAAGTGTCCCTGAGACTCCTCCTCCTGCTGTTCTTCAAACTGCAAGAGTTCTGGATCGAACAGATGTCTTGACTTATAACCTTCCTCTTCGTACACTCGGGGACTACTACATTGTACTCTATTTTGCCGGCATTCTTCCTGTTTCACCATCTTTTGATGTCTTGGTTAATGGAGATGTCGTGCAGTCAAATTATAATGTAAAAATGTCAGAAGCCAGTGCTCTGCACTTGACTCAGAAAAGAATCAAGAGCTTGAATATCACACTGAAAAGCATCAGCTTCTATCCACAAATCAATGCTATCGAGGTTTATGAGATTGTTGACATTCCATTAGAAGCTTCCTCAACCACAGGTCTCATTCCTTTTGGTTGTGTCCTTAATGATCTCAGTTGCTTGGGTAGGATTGACTCTTTTTTAGCTCTTGGTTGTTGAATTCTCCTGCAGTGTCAGCACTTCAGGTCATTCAGCAGTCTACTGGCTTGGATCTCGGATGGGAGGATGATCCATGCTCTCCGACAATGTGGGAACATATTCGATGTGAAGGAAGCATAGTTACATCACTGTGGGTTCATATTTGAAGCATTTTATGTTCTTTTTCATTTTTCCCTTGAGATCTATTAACACTTGCCGTCTCTCTTCGATTTTCTTAGGAAGCTTTCAGACATCAATCTGAGGTCAATTAGTCCAACTTTTGGTGACTTGTTGGATCTTAAAAAACTGTAAACTCTGACTCTTCATTTTGTTTTCATTTTATTTCACTTCCCTTTACTCCATTTCTCATTCCGTGGCAATATGCTTCAGGGATTTGCATAACACATCACTTGCTGGAGAGATACAGAACTTGGGAAGTCTCCAACATCTTGAGAAGCTGTATGCTTTCTTATCTTATAAAGTAAAGCCCAACTTTTGTTTCTTTATAAAGCATGACACTTTACGGAAATTTCAGGAACCTGAGTTTCAATCAGCTAACATCTTTTGGAACTGAATTGGAGAACTTGGTTCGCCTTCAAGTGCTGTGAGTTCCAAATTTTTCAATGTGTAGAGTTGAATTAAAACTTAAAAGGTCATTGTTAGTTTGTCACCCAAATACATTCCTAATCACGAGCGCTCTAATTTTTGAACATGAAGGGACCTGCAAAACAATAGCTTAGATGGAACAGTTCCTGATGGCTTGGGAGAGTTGGAGGACCTTCACCTATTGTAAGTATGCCACTGCTGCTCGAATTCACCTCCAATGAATAAAGCATCTGTTTCTAGATTTGGAACAGCCATATGTGGTTTATTAGATAGAAGCATTCCTTTCTTGCATTGTTCAGGAACCTGGAGAACAATAAACTGCAAGCAACCCTCCCACAATCTCTGAACAAAGATAGTTTGGAAGTTAGGTATGATTATGAAATTCATATTCTTGTTTTTTTCCTGCTTGCTATGGTATTTAGCATGCTGAGACATCAACTTTTTTGCAGGACATCAGGAAATCTGTGCCTTTCTTTCTCCACCTTGTCATGTGATGATGTTTCCTCCAATCCGTCTATTGAGACTCCACAAGTTACTATCGTTACCAAGAAGAAGTCTGACAAAAATAGTCACATGGCAATTATGCTTGGTGCCATTGGAGGAACCTTACTTGCTCTTATAGTGATTTCTCTTTCAGCATTCTTGTACATGAGGAAAGAAAGAACTGAAATCACATATTCAGAAAGTAAGTAGAAGTTCACATCTCTATCACTGGAAGTTCAATATCATTCTTATATCGAGAATTTTCGATGCTCAGGGGCAACAGCAGATATGCGAAATTGGAATGCTGCAAGCATCTTTTCCTACAAAGAAATCAAAGCAGCTACAAATAAGTTTAAGGAGGTTATTGGCCGTGGTAGTTTTGGCTCTGTTTATCTAGGAAAGCTATCAGATGGCAAACTGGTAGCGGTGAAAGTGCGATTTGATAAAACCCAACTTGGAGCTGATTCTTTTATTAATGAGGTTTACCATTTGAATCCCTCTACTCGAGCATTTTATTGTATACTAATTTTGAAACCATCCCATCCTAATCACCTTGTCTTTCGTTTCTTGGCTTGTTAGGTGCATCTTTTGTCGAAAGTCCGTCATCAGAATCTTGTATGTTTGGAAGGGTTTTGCCATGAATCAAAGCAGCAGATACTAGTGTATGAGTATCTGCCTGGCGGGTCGTTGGCCGATCACCTTTACGGTATGTCATAAAGAATAGGTGCTGCTAAATGTTACTGTACTATTTATTGTTTGGACCTGATAATTCAACCATTTCCTTTCCTTCAAGGTCCAAATTACAGTAAAAAAGTTTCTTTAAGCTGGGTTCGTAGATTGAAAATTGCTGTTGATGCTGCAAAAGGTAAGTCTTGTCACGTGAAAGATTCAATAATGGTGTTCTACTTCTAATACTGAAGGTATTTAGCACGATGCTATAGCTTTAGACCCCTGAACAGACGTACCGAAAATACAGTGAAATTAGCATTTTGAATTTGCTTAGGCATGCATCTTATGATTTTGCGGATAGCAGAACACAGAAAAGAGGTTTGATCATTACTGCAAAAAAGCCAGAAGGCCCCTTAAGGTTACTGAGGATTTAACTGAAGTTTCTGGCTATGAATCTATGATCACCAGTTGATGATGCTTCAATGATGTAGGATTATCATAGGTTAGAATCGGTACTAAGAGGTCAAATTTCATCGAGTTTCGTTGCTATTAATATTGAAGGATTGGATTATTTGCACAATGGAAGTGATCCACGAATCATACACCGTGATGTGAAGAGTAGCAATATATTATTGGACAAGGAGATGAATGCCAAGGTCTGTGACTTTGGCCTTTCTAAGCAAGTTATGCAGGCAGATGCTACTCATGTGACCACTGTTGTCAAGGGAACTGCAGGATATCTTGATCCTGAGTAAGTTCTTGGTCACTGTAAACTCCTGGATTCTTGATAGATATGTAAAACTCACCAACTCTAATTCATGATATGTGCAGATATTATTCTACCCAACAGCTTACAGAGAAGAGCGACGTCTACAGCTTTGGTGTTGTTCTTCTAGAACTCATTTGTGGGCGAGAACCATTGCGGCACTCTGGAACTCCAGATTCCTTCAATTTGGTGTTATGGGTAACCACAACTTCTTCTCTTCAATTTGATATCTTTTTGAATCCAGACATTTACCTTCAATCATCTTCCTTCGCACTCTGATGATGAGTGTGAGCTGTTTCTCATTGCAATATCAACTGCATGCAGGCCAAGCCCTACTTGCAGGCGGGAGCATTTGAAATAGTGGATGAGAACTTGAAGGGAAGTTTTGATGTGGAAAGCATGAGAAAGGCAGCTATAGTATCTGTAAGGTCTGTAGAGAGAGATGCCTCACAGAGGCCAACTATTGCAGAGGTATTGGCGGAGCTGAAAGAAGCCTACAGCATTCAGCTTTCCTACCTTGCATCTTTTGACTTGTAAATTGGTTTCTTGTTGAGGAGGAGGCAATACAATATATTTATCAACGTTTATGATATGATGAGTGTAAAGAGGTGCTTTTTGCAGAATTTAGGTTCGTTTTTCCTGAAAAAGAGCTGCTGCTGTGGATGATAATCATGATACTGTGCAAGTTAACTGTTCAGAAGGTTTTTTTTCCTGGAGAGAGTTCTTGGTATTTATAAATGTATATCCTATGCGTTGAGGTTGTCTTTCAAGAAATTCCCTGATTTTTGTCCAGATCTGACCAAAATAAGTTAGAATTTAGTAATTTTTTTAAAGTGAATTCATATATTGAATATTTTAAAATTTATCTCCGTTGCATTGATACTATATACTACAAAACAAAGAGAGTGGCAAAACACTTATTGAAGACATGTGTGGTTGAAGTGTTGCATTTATTTACTTTTTCTATAAACAATTTGAAAAAAAATACTTTTTAAAATAAATTAATAATAAATTTGATACTAAATGGGGTTTTATATATATATATATATATATATATATATATATATATATATATTCTTGGTATTTATAAATGTATATCCTATGCGTTGAGGTTGTCTTTCAAGAAATTCCCCGATTTTTGTCAAGATCCGACCAAAATAAGTTAGAATTTAGTAATTTTTTTTAAAATGAATTCATATATTGAATATTTTAAAATTTATCTCCGTTGCATTGATACTATATACTACAAAACAAAAAGAGTGGCAAAACACTTATCGAAGACATGTGTGGTCGAAGTGTTGCATTTATTTACTTTTTCTATAAACAATTTGAAAAAAAATACTTTTTAAAATAAATTAATAATAAATTTTATACTAAATGGAGTTTTATATATATATATATATATTTAGGATATCATGTTATCAAGAAATTATCATAGAGATCCGGTTTACTATCTACAATTATCAACTAAACCAATAAAATTATTACAAATGATTAAATTTGTCCAAATAATCTATTAAATAAATTACATTTAGAATGTGAATCTTTTCACATTTAATAATAGAATCATAATTATAGAATGAAATAATTAACAATGTATACATTTGATACAATACTGAAATTAGAAAAGAACACTAACAACAATTTGAGAGGCTGCCTTTTCTCCTTGACAGTATTGTCACCCAAAATTACACAAAATTCCTCATGGTCCCCTCCATATGTCAATATCAGTTTATATATTCTCTTCCTAATTCGGTTGTAACCAACCTCACACCAATGACAACATCTTCTAGAATCTAACACGTTGTTACCAAACAACAAAATACAAAAATAGCCTAACAACCAACAATGTAACCAACACAACAAACTCGAAATAAAAAGAAATCAACACCGAAATTAAAAGGTCTAACCCAACCCTTGATGCTAACTCGTAGATCGCTTAAGCCTAATCCACTTCTTTCAAATTCAACCCATCCCCATTCAGCTTTGAACCTCTCTTTTCCTTCCTCTTATAGACAAACTTAACAACAAGCTTAACATTACCTCCCCTTTAAGATCCACCTTGTCCTCAAGGTGGAATTGTGAAAATTGTTCCATAATCAAAGAAATAGGTTTACAGCTTGGATTCAAATTCAAGTAGGTGTCTCCATTTGACAAGAATCTCCTAGTCCTCCTTCACTTCTTTGACATCCTTCATTACCTCCGGTTCTACCTTCCACTCCATTTGATCATTCAAAACCGATGCAAAGATTGATTGAATGCAAGTGTTTGTAATGGTCTTTTTCCATAAAGAGACATGGAAAATATGATGGATGTGTGTACTAGGTGGCAACTCAAATTTGTAAGCCATCGGACCTATCCTTTGTAATATTTTGTAAGTGGCTAAAGAAGCGAGGAGCCAACTTCTCATTCACTCTTCGAGCCATAGATTTTCTTCGATAAGGTGTTACTTCATATAGACAAGGTCCCCTACCTCAAACACTATGTCACGACGATGCTCGGTCAAGCATCTTCTTCCTTCGACTTTGAGCAATCAACGACCGATCATGCAATTCGCCAATGCTTCATCCCTTTGTTTTAACAATTCCTCCAGCTCAAAATTAACAATTGGGTAAGATGATTTGTACCTTAAGCCTTGGTGGTTCCTTACCATAGATAGCCATTAACAGGGGAGCACTTAATAGAGGAATGATAGGTGGTATTATACTAATATTCCGCCCACAAAACCCATTTAGACCACTCTTTTAGCCGATTACTCATAAAATATCTCAAATAGGCCTCAATAAATCGATTCACTACCTCACTTTACCCATCACTTTGTGGGTGGTATGTCGTACTTCTATTTAATTGGGTTTGTTATAATTGAAACAACTCCTTTCAAAAATTACTTATAAAGATCTTGTCTCGTTCGATACTATGGAGTGTGGGAAACCATGGAGTCGGACCACATTAATCAAAAATTCCTCTCGCCACTTGTTTAGTAGCGAAAGGATGTTTGAGTAAAATGAAGTGTCCATACTTAATGAAATGGTCCATTACCACAAATATAGTGTTATAGCCATGGGACTTCGGTAAACCCTTCAATAAAGTCTATGGTAACGTCTTTCTAAATTGTTTGAGGTAATGTTAGGGGTCGTGACAAACCAATAAGAGATAGAGTATCCTACTTGCTCTATTCGCACACCTGGATAAGAGCTAACAACGTCCTAGACATTTGATCGCATCCCTTCCCAAAATAACTCGTTAGATAACCTTTTATATGTCTTCAAACCCCCCTCATGTCCTCCTATGGGACTAAAATGGAATTCCTCTAATAGCTTGGTCCGAAGTGGACAATTTCGAGCAATGACTACTCGATCCCGGTATCTCAACTACCCTTGTTCAATAGTTTAGCCTCGGTTTTGTAGAAGAATCGGTTTTCAAAGCTTGAATAATTTGTGATAGCTTGGAGTCTTGTCTTACCCCTTCCTCAATTATTTTCCAATCCAAAAACACTACAAAAGAGAGGGTCGTATTTTTGTTACGGTAGGAATTCGAGATAAGCACGTCACTGCTTCGGTTGTCATTCCTAGAATGATATTGGATCTCAAAATTAAATCCCATCAACTTTATCAACCATTTTTGATACTTCGATACAACCACTCGCCGCTCGAGCAGAAACTTAAGGCTCTTCTAATTAGTACGAACAACAAAATACCTTCCTAAGAGGTAGTGTCTCCACTTCTATATTTCAAAAACAATAGCTATTAATTCCCTCTCATAAACCAACCTCAAC